ATGCTTCCTTAATGACCCAAAACGCCTGCTCGCTCGTGGAATTTTGCCTCCCCAAGAGAGACAATTTTAAAATGGACGAATAAGCTGGGAAGCTGGATAGCCTTATTTGCCAAATGACAGATGAGTCGAATAGGCAATATTGTGCACCAGTGATTAACAGCTCTAGATGCATATCTAGCATAGCAGCCATGATATTTGAACAAATAGCGATAACAGCCTCCATCCCTACCCCCCCCCCCCCCCCTCCCCGCCGGCCATCGGGGTTGCTTTCCAGAAAAAGTTCCTGAATTACACCCTGAACTTGGCCCCCCTCTCTCCACTTGGCCCCCCACTGAGTTTGTCCCCCCCCCCCTCCCTCCCACTGCCTTTAAATGTACGATTTGATGTCCTGAAGCGTTGAAATGCACTTTTTCCGAAGTGTCATTATTCTCGTTCATCTGTTGGCCAGGGCTCAATATTAACTGTCAAACCAACGCCGCGCGGTCTACGGAGACTGCAACGCCTGGCGTCGAGGTTTTTTTTTACTAAGATTCACGAGCGTGTATGCTCAAAATTACGTCACATAAGTTATTTTGTTAGCCGATTTAAATGTTCAAAGGTAATTATTTCAAAAGCGCCATCATTTTCGTCCACCGGTGGGCCACGAGGAAAAAATTAGCCACCGGGTTAACGGGTCACGGTCAATGGAGACTGCAACGTCTCGCGAGCAGGTTTTTATTGCTAAGATTTGCGAGCGCGCTTGTTAAACAACCACGTTGCATAAATTGTATCACCTATCGAGCCTGACTGAACGTTAATTTTTTCCAAACCAACATGGCTTGGCCATGTTTATACACATTGTTGACCGCTTGATCTACAACCAAATCTTCATCTTCAAGTTTCGATTAAACATATACATCTACAATCTACCTTCGCGATGTACATAATGTCTGAAGAGCGCAGATACAAATTTTTCGAACTTCGCCTTCCCAGGAAAGACAATGTCGAAATGGACGAATCGTCTCGGAAAGCTGAATAGCCTTATTTCCTGAGTAACATAGATGAGTCGAGTGGGCAAGATTGTGGACTTATGAGATGATGCATATCTAGATGATATGCTATGATGATATGTTCTAGATGCATATAAGATATGCTCTAGATGCATATCTAGCACAACAACCATGACATTTGAATAAAGACCGGTAAAAATCTCCATCTTCACCCCCCCCCCCCTGGTCATCAGACTTGCTTTCCAAAAATCAGAAAAGTTCCTGAAGTACGCCCTGGGCTTGTCCCCCCCCCCACACTTTTTGAAATGTTCCTACGCCTGTGATGTAGGCGCTATATCTGGTAGGCTGTTCGCCTTTACAACCTGTACTTAAATGTGTACAGTGATTATGCTAATGGTTCTATCAGGACAATTTTGCGATTCAATGTTGGCAGAAGCAGTAATGAAACATACCATATTTGCCTCCATGCAATGCCATGCTCACAAGCGCAAAGGAACACATGTATAAGTGCACATGTGCAACACATTCATGTGCAAGTGCACATGAATGAGCAAAGCAATGAGCAAAGCAAAGCAAAGCAAAGCAAATGAGCAAAGCAAAGCAAAGCAAATGAGCAAAGCAAAGCAAAGCAAATGCAGAATGAATGGCTACCAGAGCTTTCCTGTTACAGTACGGGTGCTATCATCATGAAATAGTGAACACTTTCCTCAGAGACAACGAAATGCCAACCTTTCACTGACCTCGTAGGAGAGTTGGACAACAATACCATGAAACCACCTGCTGTATGAAGTAAAAACTCCTGGTATAGGGGGAGATGGCAGTGTAATTTGTAGCCAGGGGCGGATCCAGAGGGGAGCCATGGGGCTATGACCCCCCCCCCCCTTGGGCCCCGAAGGGACTCATTGGCTCCGAGGAGGCCCATAGCCGGGCGAACAGGTGGAGTTTTTTTCAAACACAAAACGCAACAAAACTGGGAATCTCTGGACTTCTAGGTGGCCTAAAACAGTTGTGAGCGAAAGTGAAGGGCCTACGAGAACTCAAAAAATTATTTAATGATTGGAAAAGCCGTAAACTAAAGATTTTGAGCCCCATTACACCGTGTAGGGCACCATGCTGTTTCCGGGAGACCTACACGCCTACTTGCAGGATCATTTCGGTGATTAAGGAGCATTCTGCGCTGCTCTTCATTTCTTTGCATTTGCTCGGAGGGCCCTGCGCTGTTGTTGGGGCCCTTCATGTTAGCGTGCCGGGGCACTCTTGTCCATCATGGGCCCTTCCACGAATTTTTTCCATTCGGACGAAGCGCTCTGTGAGCTATAGCCGGGGCATTTTCGGTTGCTCAATGTCCCTTTATGTGGGCCTCGGTCTCCCTACCGACACACTTGCGATATGCTCATGGGCCCTCTACATGGGTCTAGAGTATTTTCAATTCTCTGTCACTTACTTAGGGCCCTAAATTCTTGTTGGGGGCCCATCTGATGGCCTCCTTGGGCACACTCAGTCCTTCGGTGGCCCTCCCCACTGGGTGTTGGGTACTTCTTTTCTGAATATGGGGGGGGGGCTACGCTCTTGCGGGGGGCCTATCTGATAACCTGCTCGGGCACATTCGATCGTTCGGGGCCCTCTACATTGGCCCTTGGGCACGTGCTATTTGAATGGGGCCCTACACACTTGTCGGGGGCCCCATATGTTTGCCTCCTCGGCTACACTGGGTTGTTCGGGGGTCCCGTATATTGGGTCTTGGCGTTTGAATTCAGGGCCCTACACTCCTGTTGGGGCCATAGGATAAGCTGCACGGGTACCCTTCATTTTTCGAGGGTCTCCCGCACTGGGTTTTGGTACTTCTTATTTGAACGGAAGGCCCCACGCCCTTGTCGGGCCCCTTTTGATAACCTGCCCGGGCACATTCCATCGTTCTAGGGGGCATTCACGTAGGGCCTTGGGTACTTCCCGTTTGAGTGGACAGCCTTATGCTCTTGTTGAGAGCCCTATCTGTTAACCTGCTCTGGCACACCCGATCATTCGGGGGCTCTCTACTTTGGATCTTGGCTACTTCCTATGTGAATGGAAGGCCCTACGCTATTGAAGGGGACCCTATATTTGAAACTGCTCGGGCACACTCGACCGTTGGGAGCCATAATATTTTGTCGTCAGTATTTCCTCTTTGAATGGCCTTATGTTCTTGGCGGGCCCCATCTATTAAGATGATCGGGTCGGTGGCGGAAGCAAAGGGGGTGGGGGCACGGGGCCGTCCCGTGTCCTATGCCGAGAGGACCTAAGTCTCCGAAGGCGCCCATAACCGGCCGAAAAGACGCAGTTTTCTCACGACAAAATTGGACGCCTTTGGACCTATAGACGACTAAGAACAATAGTTCCCAAAAGTAAAGAGTTTATGAGCAGACGAAGTTATTTTTTTCCCGATTGAAAAGGTGTTACGTGGGGGGGGGGGGATTGGGGGCTTATTATGCTGTCCAGAGGTCTTACACTGCTGCCCGGGCCCTGTATGTCCACCTGCCGGGTCAATCTGATCGCTAAGGAGCTTTCCATGTTTCCTTTAATCTTTTGGCATTTCCTCGTAGGGCCCAACGCTGCTGTTGGGACGCTATCTGCTTCCGTTCTTGGGTGCTCTTGATCGGTCAGGTTTTCCTCCATGGATTTTTCCCATTCGCCCGAAATGCTTTGTACACTTTTATGGGGCCCCATATGCCAGGGCACACAGTTGCTCAGGGGCCCTTCATGTTAGTCTCCGGTTCTTTCCACTTACTTGGAGGGCCTCGTGCTGTTGCTGGGGCTCGTATAACGTAAGGCGTCGAGACACTCGATGTTCAGGGGTTCTCTACCTTCATCAAAAGGATCTTTCCCTTTTATCTAACTTGCAGAGGACTCTTCACTCCTATCGAGGCCCTTTCTGTTAACGTTCTCGCACACTCTTATACTCTTGACAACACTCAATACTCAGTACTCTTGATCGCACAAGGGTGTTAATTCATGGTCTTGGGTAATTCCCCTTTGCTCAAAGGGATTTATGCTCTGGGTGGGGCGACATCTGTCAGCCTGCCCGGGCACTACCAATTGCTTGGGGACCCACCCCGTTGGTCTTATTTTTGCTCACCCTGAGGATCCTATACTTGTTGACGGGAGCCACTTTGTTGGCCTCCTGCGGCACTCATGATCGCTCAGGTTTCGTCCCAATTGCCCTTGGTGCCTTCGCCTTAGAGCAGCAGTCGAATATGCGCGGATGAATTCTACACGTCATTGCCGAACACAATTTTGCGTGTCGCCGACGTCGTATGTGTCCTTTCCGTTGGCTATTGAGCGTGTGACACTTATCACACCAGTGCATCACATTCCAAACATACTTTGAATGCTAGGACCTATACTCCTTTATAACAAAACAGAATTATATGCAATGCGAATGCCACTTGCAAAGTTGCAGTGCATTGAAATTCACTGCCCACTTCATATCAGTCGCATCACAACAGTTGAAACACGGGCTTGCGGCCAGATAAATCCCCACATCTAGATCTTTTTCAGTAATTTATACTGAATATTTTGGGACACTGAGAGTCGCCTGATAAAAACAGCGAATCGGCCGACCGGCCGGGCCATAGGAAATGCGCTGACTTGTCGCCGACCTGTCACCGAGTCGGCCGACCAACTAAAAATCGTGGGATATTTTTGTCGCTAGATTGGAATGAAACTTGTAAATACACCAGGGTGCTGTAGAGTACGGAAAGGGGTCTTTACGGAAACGTTTGGTTGTGTTGTGGGGCGAAATTTATTACCATGGAGGCATAATATCTATGTATGGAGACCTCATCTTATGTTTTACATAGTGTGCTGTATTTTGTCGTTTTGGCCGTCACCAAAATTTGCTGTCCAATGTGTGTGCGTGCGTGCGTGCGTGCGTGCGTGCGTGCGTGCGTGCGTGCGTGATGTGGGTGACGTGGGTGCGTGTCTGAGCCGCTCGAGATCTGCCGTGCACCCACCCGTGCCTTGCGTGTGCGGCAGGTTCATACTGCGCAGCCAGGACCCGGAGGAGGGCGGCATGGCCGATCGGCCGGGCGACGTGTGCGACCCGTTCCACACGCTGTTCGGCCTGGCCGGCTTGTCACTGCTCGGCGACCGCTCGTTGGCGGCCATTGACCCTGTGCTCTGCATGCCGGCCGGGACGCTGCGCCGGCTTGGCCTGCGGCCACAGCGGCTGCGCTCGTGACCGGCCCGGCCCGGTGGCGGCGGCGGCGGCGGTGGTGGTGGCGGTGGCGGCGGCGGCGGCGGCGCTGGCGCTGGCGCTGGCGCTGACGGCCCCCGTGACCCGTGGGAGGCCAAGGGCCGAGTGATGTCCGCTTGGGGCGGTGGTCCGGCCAAGCCTGCCATCTACTGGCGCGGGCGAGCGTTGACAGGTGTGGCGTGACGTCAGCATGTGTATTGCTTATTGAGTGACTTGTGATGATTCCAGCATAGGTTGGTGCAACAGTACCAGCCCCGTAGCTCGAGACGATGTGCTTGGATATAAGTTTGTCGCAGTTTGTCGGAACCAGTGGGTGTGCGTGCTCTGTGGTGGGTATTGCGAATGCACCGGAGTATGCACCCTCCGCAAAGGGCCCGTGGCTTGGGGGCCGTGTACGCCGGATACCCAAAGTAAGCTGCTTGATATTAACTGTATTGCCCCAATATAAATGCCTGCTACCAGCTACAGCTTCATATTGTCACCTACTGTACAAATTTAACGGCGGATGAAGACATTTCTAGCCGGTGGCATAGCGCCGCCTCCAGGGCCCAGTCTGTTCTAACTGCCGTACAACAGCTCAAACGGCATCACATCACACGCCGCGCACGACTGACCATCGACACCACCTTCAACACTGCGGTGTGAGGCGATACACCACCACACTGGAACAGAGCACCGACGGCCCGGGCGTGCCGACGACGGCGGGCGGCCGGCCCGCGACATTGCCCGCGCACCTCATCTCCAGAACACAACAGCCCTCGCCTGGCCTGGTCTGGCGCAGCGCGGCCCTCCGGACCCGCTACAAGACGCGCTCGTAGAACAGCACATAAGCCTGGCTTTTGAGGACCCTGTCCAGTGTCACCTCCGTCACATGCGTGTCGCTGACGTGGAACCAGCGTCCCGGCTCTGGCTCTGGCTCTGGCTCTGGCTCTGGCTTTGGCTCCGGTTCCGGTTCCGGCTCCGGCTCCGGTTCCGGCTCCAGCCCCTGCTCCTGACCCTGCCCCCCGTCCTGCTCCTGCCCCTGGCCCTGCTGCTCCTGCTCAAGGCCGGGCGACGAGATGGGCGTGGGCAGCACGCTCTGTGCGCTCGCGCAGGCCAGCTGGTACGCGTCGGCCACGAGTTCGGTAAGCAGGCCGGGGTTGACCGTAAGCCGCTCGCTGCGGCGGCGCACGCGCACGTACGCCGTGTAGTGGCCGCTGCTCAGACGGCCGCTGTGCTCCACCACGCCGAACAGCGAGTACAGCACGCGCCGCTGGCCGGGCCGCATCTGCGGCAGGTCCTGGCGGCGGACACCGGTGGCACGTCAGAGCGAGCGGCGCCGCCGACTGGACACGCCGCACAGGCTCGCGCACGGCAGACTCGCACCGGTCCTTTTCGTATCAGTGCAGAGCGAGGGGGGGAAGTCAAACAGACCAGGACTAAGAGCTCAAAATGGCGGCGATGGTAAATGGACGCGAGACGCGCACTGCTGATCGATGATAGATCTTCAGCGAGCTAACAGCGACTTGGAAGTACTGATCACTTACTTGACGTGTCATGTGGCACCACTTTCATCGGGTGACGCCATTGGACCGCTCTACTGTTGTTGATTGCCGTAACCATAACGGACCGGTTGATGCGTGAAAAACGCATCCACGTCCGCACGACCGAGGCGTATACAAATTGTACCAGTCTAGCACATAAGGCAAACCACTTATGAGGCTTACCGAGTGAACGAGGGTCAATTCGCGGAGCAAATAGCACCAAATAGACATCAAGTCCTAGAAACGGCTGGCTGGAGAATAAGCCTGTTGCGGGCTGCTCGCCGGGAGGTCAGCTGATTGGCGCGGGTGCGGGCCCACCACCATCGCGTACCTGACAGATGGAGGAGCAGAACGGCGCCAGGTCCAGCCGCTCACCGAACTGCACGTGCCGGTTGACCTTGCGCAGGCTGAAGCTGCACACCTCGAACCGCTTCAGGTGCACGGTCAGCACCGGCGGCACGCTGTACACCAGCAGCTGCTTGCTGGCGTTGCTGTAGACGGTGCCGCCGGCCGACTCCTCGCCGCCTGTGACGCAGCGGTGCATCGGAGTAGTCGGCGTGGTGGGTCTCACACGACAGGTCGCCACCAATAGCACGACGCGCTGTCGCAAGCAACGGGGCCGAATGCCCAGGTAATGATCCGACAGCAAACTGGGCCTGGTTAAACGGTACGACCTATAACTTTTACTCTGTCGATGACAGTTACGATATACAACGATCCATCTGAGTTCAATTCGACGAGCCACGCAGCAAAGGCCCGCATACATGCTGCAGACAGACGCATCGTATCCGACCCGCTTCACCAAGTGGTGGCTAATCCCCTTCCCCGCCCTATCACACGTGCCACCCTCTGACCGATACGTCCACAGCTGTCGCGCATTTGATTTAATCAATAGCCTGTATCTGCCTAAACACGGGGTCCATAACCCTTCCACACGCCAAATCACTCATCACGCGCTGCGACCTTCCCCTCCCAGCTGTACCGTGTTATGCAGTAATAAGGCCCATCATCCCAGCCCCTCTCCTCCCTCACGTCGTACCCGCCCGCGTGCTCACGGGCGTTCTCTGCGTTTTCTCCCGCCTTGCCGGCCGCGAGCCGGCGGTTGCGCAGCTCGGTACAGCGCTCGCAGCCGAACCGGTTGTTGCCTGCCAGCAGCTCGGGCGCCGTGTACTGGTTGAGGCAAGTGAGCAGGCTGCACTCGCCGGGCTCCGCCTGGTACCGCGCCGACAGCGTCATCAGAGCCCGGCTGAGCCACTCAGGGCGCGTCAGCGGGCCAGGAGCACCTGCGCCGGCGTCCAGCGCGCCAGCCGGCCAGTCTCCTGGCGGCGCCTCGCCGCTCGGGGCCGCCGGCCAACGCTCGGCGTGGACGTCCGCGGTCGGCGACGCCGTCCGGCTGTCCCCCGCTTGACCGTTTACTGGCACTGTCTGGGCGACAGACGGCCCCGCCAGGCCGTTCGGCGAGGCTGGCTCACTGTCCACCGTTTTTCCACTCGGCGAAGCTCGCCAACTGTCTGGTCCGAGGTCGACGCCATTCGCCGGCGCCGTCTCATCGTGTTCGATATCGCCGTTGGGTGAAGCCGTCTCGCTGTCTGACCCCTTTTGACCGTTGGTCAGAGTGGTCTGACCGTGCGAACATGCCCCCTCCCGCGGTGTAAACACACCGGAACCGTTCTGCGTGGCTGCCACGCCGTCGCCCGAGGCCGGGTGACGGTCCAGGTCGGCCGCGGCGCCCGGGACAGCGGCCGAGGGGCTGGTCTGCAGCGCCGCCCGATCTCCGGCCGCCGCCGAACCGTCAGCACCGTCGATGTCGGGCCATGCAGCACGCTCCCGCAGCCCCGGTCCGCTGTCAGCCGAGGCCTCCCAGCCGCGGCGGCGGTCGTTCTTAGCGGGCGACGCGCCGGTGCCATCCGGCCGCAGATCGGGCCCGTCCACCGGGGGCGGCCTCGCCGAGTCCCGCGGCGCCGAGAGATCGAGCCTGTCTACTGGGGGCGGCTCCGCCGAGTTCCGCGGCGCCAAGAGATCGGGCCCGTCCACCGGGGGCGGCCTCGCCGAGTCCCGCGGCGCCGAGAGATCGAGCCCGTCCACTGGGGGCGGCTCCGCCGAGTTCCGCGGCGCCGAGAGATCGGGCCCGTCCACCGGGGGCGGCCTCGCCGAGTCCCGCGGCGCCGAGGGATCGTCATCGCCCAGGCTGAGACGCGCCATCTCCTCGCAGAGCGCGCTCGACGCCAGCACCGACTCCGGGCGAGCGCCGGCGCGCAGCGTCCGTCGACCGTCGGCCGCGTAGCCGGCGGCGGTAGACGGCGGTGCAGCAGCGGCCGGTGCCAGCTCTAGGTCCACCAGCAGGCTGTCGATGGCCAGGTCCGTGTCACCGTTGTCCTCCTCGTCGGCGTCGCTCTGACCTGCGGCACGCAGCGGAGGCGGTCGTTCACCGCATGGGCGATGGCGCGTCACGGTGGACACGAACTGCAAGCTGTGTTCCGACGGTACTTTGCACTGTTCTGCACAGCAAACGGATAATGGGCGACAAGTGCGACACAAGGCGCTCGAGGACGACCTACGGCATACATTCTAAGCCTGGAGGCTGGTGGAAGGCGAGCACCAGCCTCATGGAGTAAAGACCGCGGCCATATCTCACCAGGATTCTGACTCAGGACTACAGAGGCAATCAGTCTCCCGTCGCCGCCGGCGGGAGACAGCCGAGTCTTCCGCTGGCACCGACGGAACTACCTCCTGCAGACTACAGACACCAAGACTGTGTCCAAACAGACCACAGATAACTCCGAGCCGCACAAGCGTCTTGCAGGAGCCGTACCTTCGTCCGAACCGGCGTCAGAGCCCACAACCGGCTGCGCGCTGCGGTCCCGCTCCGGCCCGTCCCCCACCGACGGCGCACCTGCGGGATGGCAGGCAATCGTCGGTGACGCTCATCACGTGTAGCACGCACCATCGGGGGCAGCGTGATGAACGCCACGCGCGTTCCGCTGTGACACGTGCAGCAGCCGCACACGTCACGAACTCGCCGCTATGTTGCAAGTTTTTCATGTAGACGTTCGATACCGATGTGGGGATAAGGCCAAAGTCTGACAAGGGAATGGCTGCAAAATCGAGCATTCATGGGTACCGCCCTTCTTTACAGCCCAGCTTGCGGGTCGATATTCACCAATGCCGAGGAAGCAAAGCAAAAAGCGCCCCAATTTACGCATGTTTAAAGCCGAAAACCTCCCGTTCCCTTACACTCCGCACTCCGCACTTGTGCCGCGGTCGGGCCGACCCAGCAGGCTTGTCAGGCGGGCGCCTTACAGTGTTGGCGGCGGCGTTTGGCGGCGCGGCGCTCCTTCTTCTGGCTGTGCTTGTACGGTCGGGCAGCCGCCTCCTTGCTACGCGGCGTCAGCACGTACTCGCCTTCGTCGTCCGCCCCGCTGCCGCACAACTTCCGCGGCCGGCTCGGCTGCGGCGCGGCGCCCGTTGCCATGGCGACGGTCAGCGGCGAGCGAATAGACAGTGGGCTCAGCCTCAACATTAACTGGAATATATAGCTTCCATGCTTGACGGGATGGACATGCCTGAAGGGAAATCTTGGATATGAATAGCCTCCCAAGTGGTATGAGGCGAGGTTAGGGGAAGGCCGAGACCGTGTCTATTTGCAGACGCCGCATTCACCCTTTTCAATACACGATATGAGTAAAAACGCAATAACAGAATCTCATCCAGCGTGGATATGCCGCTTTCATGCGCCCATTTCCTCCTCGCACATTCCAATTTTAAGCTTTCTTCAGCCTTCCTATCAGACGTAAATGCAGCGTACTTTGAAGTAAATCATTTAACTCTTGCAGAACACAGCATGCATACAATGAACTAACTTTGCTTCAAACCACTCTCCCTGAAACCCGAGAAGAAAACTTGAGCCACAATAAAATTCGCTAGCTAGGCTGCACCAAGATGCACGGGATAGACAGCATCCTCCTCAGCACCGAGCAGCCCGGACGAGGAGCTTCGCCCGGCCGGCACGAGCTAAGCACGCACCTTATCCTCGGCGACGGGCAGCGAGAGGTCGAGGAATGGCTCGAACCGGTGTGTCCGGGTCATGCAGGCCTGGCACACCACTGCAACAAGCACGGCCCCGGTCAGCGGCGTGCCGCCGAGCCCGACCGGTCCGGCCGCGGCTCCCTCATCAGCCCCGCCGACACACCGGCGAGCGGGGGTCACCGGCGGGCGGCGGGTCACCACCCCGTCGGGGGGTCTGCCACATCCGACAGCTGCCCGGCGTCACGGAGCAAACGCGCGTCGGCTGCAGCATCAAGCATCGTTTACAAAGATCTGGAGCATGTTCGCGAAGGAGGTACCTGCACGGCACATGCGACGACAGTACCGCAGAGATGGGCGACGACGGTACCGCAGAGATGGGCGACAACGGTACCGCAGAGATGGGCGACGACGGTACCGCAGAGATGGGCGACGACGGTACCGCAGAGATGGGCGACGACGGTACCGCAGAGATGGGCGACAATGGTACCGCAGAGATGGGCGACGACGGTACCGCACAGATGGGCGAGGACAGTACCGCAGAGATCAGTGTCCAGGCAGGTAGCGTAGGCGTCTAGCGGCAGTGAGTACAGCCAGTACTCGAGCTGCAAGATAGCCGACCGCCCGAAGGCACACCCGGCGGGGATGGCGAGGGGCTGGCTGTGACCCACCTAGGCTGACCAGCTGTCCGCTGAAGATGGAGTCGATGGTGGTGTGCGACACCTGGCGACCGAGGACCTTCAGCCGCGCGCGCACGTCCGCCTCCACCGTCTTCGGGTCCGTCTTGGTCGGCAGGCCCAATGCCTGCATGATCTGCCGCTGGTGACGCTGATGGGGGGGGGGGGGGTCAGTAGACGGCGAGCGCGTGCGTGTCCGACAGGCCTGAAGTGATCACGCAAGCACGTGCGCAATGGGCAACGGCACAGCGACCAGCCTTGAATGCTGACGCATGTGTGACTGTTGCTGTCTACCTGCGGTCACCGCGGCTATGCGGGAACCGTCGGCCGGAATTTCAACGGGGCCGACGACCGTACAGGGAAGAAACCTGTCCACCAGACGGGCTGCTGGGCACCAAGCGTCTGAACACCGCTGCCGCTGACCACAAGCCCACCCGACTGCACCACTCCATATCGTGACTCAAGTCTTGAATGATGATGATGATGATGACCGCAGGCAAGCATGCTTCTCAGGCTATGATGGCGTCGGCCATCCTCTGTACCAGCGAGAGCGGACGGAAGGGAGGGAGTGGGGTGGGGTGGGGTGGGGTGGGATGTGGGTGGTGGTGACGTACCCGCAGCTCCTCCAGCCGCACCTGCTCCATCAGCGCGCGCAGCAGTTCGTGGGCGTCCTGCTGATCCGAGCCCGCGAACTGCGGCACTTTGAGTGCGATCTGCGGAGAGGGCAAACGTCAGGCCCGGTCCCGACGGCGGCCGGCAGGACGGGCAAGGCAGAGGTGCGGCACGGCGAGTCTGAGCACACGAGCCGTCGCTGGGGGCGGCACGCATCGACACGCTCTACGAGAACGGCCGGACGCACAACCAGCGTCTGCGCCCGCCGCCCGACCAGGCGCCGCAGACCGGCCGCTCGTTAGACGGATGAACAAACAGAATGAGCAGACTGAACCGAAAGACTGAGCCAACAGGCTGAACACACAGACTGGAAGCCAGCCGGTCGGTGGAGCCACTGCACACGCGTCGGTGCGGGTTACCTTGCGCAGCAGGTCGCTGGGCGAGACGGTGGCCGTGTTGCCGACCGTGTGCATCTGCTTCAGGAAGTGGCAGAGCGAGGCGGTCAGCGGCCCCGTCTCCGGCAGCACCAGCTCCATGCTCTGCCACACACACACACCGCCAGACGCGGCACTGAGACATGCTAGACTGCGCCGACGGCGTGGCGCCAACCCCAATATGCCAGCCCTGTGGCCGACAGACGACATATAAACGCGGTACTGCCATGCCCGTCACCACAGATAAATGGTCCGCCGCCGGTAGATCAACCTTTGACTGCTCGCAGACCGATGTCATAGCTGTCGGCACGAACGTCCGGCTTCGCGGAGCAGCACTAAGTCTCGAAGGCTTGGCACCTCCCAGGAAAAGCGTCACCAAAACTGGCTCACGTCCAACCGAAGACGTCCGAACTCCCGCAAGGAAGCCCGCACCACGTGCGCGATCACAACTGCTGCCGATCAGCCACCGCTTGCAAAAGATCGCCAACCGGCGCGTCCCAGGCTTCGGGGACGCCTGGCCTGGCCGTGTAGAGACACCCGGCCTGGCCGTGTGAGGACACTTGACCCGGCAGTGTGAGGACACCTGACTCGGTCATGTCCGACTCACCCGTCCGTCCTTCTCCCGCAGCATGACGCGGCGGCCCGCCCGGCTGCTGATGTCCAGGTAGTGGGTGAGGTAGTGGCACTGGCTGACGCACTGCAGCACCGAGTTCAGGTAGCACGAGTTGCCCAGGTTGATGAGACCCTGCAGCATGGGACGCATGTGGAACAGCGTGGCCAGGGATTGGCCGGACGGGTCAGGTAGGGGCGGGTACACATTGCACGAGGCAGGGCTGTTAAGCTTATGTAAGGATACGCGCGGCACGGAACAAAAGACGCAGGGCTGTCAGTATTCGTGCAGGATGGAGTGAAATCAAGATGACAGCAGCAAAACCATGTTGTCAAATAGGCCTCCCGTTGTGAACCTTGGTGGGAGGCACAGCCAGAATACATCGATTCTGCTCTTTTCATCCAGTCGTCCGAGCCCCGTGTCATGTGATACAACTGTAAGGCATGGTACACTGAGCTCGGCCGACCGGCTGGATACGCTATCCGCGCCCAATGAGAACGGAAGTGAAACGTTTCAGAGTCAACAGCTTTGAAAATGTGAAAATTGCACTGCTTTGAGAAGACAAGGGAAGCTAGTGGCCAACAACCACACTTAACCTTTACCGCCAGTTTTCACTAAAAAGGCACAGGGCCAAACCACTTAAAACACCCCAGCCATGTTGTTGAGGAAAATATGTAGGCAGCAGTATGTTAAATATCCGCTGGTAGTAAAGGTTGAGTAGGAACAGAGTGACAAGTGACGAAATCCAAAGTATGAAAATACTAGACGAGAACGCCTACTCGCGACGCGTAGCTTAATTCTTTTTAAAGTTGAGGAGCAAGCGATTTGCAAACTAGAGTGTTCTGGGCATATTGGTGTGAAGACCCATCAAACCTACCTTGACCTTGGGCAGAGATTCTCGCCCCTTTTCTTGAGCCGCTTTGTCTTTGACCGCCACGTTCTTGAAAGACCTGGTGCCCGTGACCTCCTCTTTTGGCGACGAGGCTGGGGAAGTGAGGCGCAATACTCAAGCACCTTCATGAACTTCTATGTTTCGTCATATCCAGGGGAGCCACAACACGAAAGAGGATGATTCTACCCGTCCAGGTTCATGTTCGAGCCGCAGGTCGCCTCCGCTTTCACTGCATTGCTCGCTGGAAAAATGCAATGCAACTAAGCTCAAGCCAGCGTTCGTAGTGCTGGAAGATTCGCAGGGTTCACGATACATGTTCATGATCAGTTAGTTAGGGAAGAGTGTAGTGCTGGCGCTATCGTCGCCACGGCGCGCACTCTGGGTGTGCTGCATCCTGCACGCAACGGTACCACAACACAGTACACAACGTCAGCTTCAGAACGGACGCTATGCCAGTGCCACAATAAAGACGTGTTGTCTTCCATAGAACAGCGCGACTTGGCTCTCACTTAACAGCGATTTAATCCAAATCGAAGTAAACAGAAGTTTAGGCAAATCGTACAAATGGTAACATATGCGAGTGTACATGCATCTAAGCATTGCACAGTCGCATCTGCCAGCGGTCGCACCTGACGTACGCAATGTGCCATCCTTCCTGCGTATAAACTGAACGGCTTCGTGAAGCTTCTTGTTACTCTTCAGCGAGACAGTCATGTTACAGGTAAAACACCTGAACAAGGGAAAGTTAGATGGTGAGGAATCGTAACAACATGACAACACCTTTAATCATTATCTAATACATTCACGGGGACAGCATCACACTTTGTTCACATATCATTTATGCCTTCTCAATACAACGACGGATCATTAATAGTGACATAATGCAAACAGCCAATGGTGACATTAAAGCAAACATTTCAAAACATTATCTAAGACGGAACACTTTGTTCTACACTAACAGCTGTGCACTCCTCATGACTGGCATGGGCACTGTTCGGCATTGAGGGATCTGATGGCAATACGCCTAGCTTACAAACAAAAATTAGGCTGAGCCAAAACTAATGGCCCAACAGTTCTGCCTTTGGCACCATCACCTGAACATCATTCCGAGCTCTCAAATGTTGCTGTAACAGCTAACAGATATCAACACAGGTGCTGTAATGTGTCCCCATAATAAAGACACAAGATGTGTAAGCAGGCTTTTTGAAGTCATGTTTGAAACATTTGACCCAATTTGTTTTACATTAGATTACCAAACTTTACACAGCGGTAGAAATCTGCCACCCTGGAGAAGGTCTCAGTGTCATTTTTAGCTATATGTTTGGAATGGACCCGATTTTATCATTCCATACTGCTAGTAGTGCTGCACATTGTGATAAGAAGTGCAAATTACGAACAAAAGCGTTTAAAATGTGTCCAATCTTTTATATGCACACAAGCATATATAATTACCCGAAGCCTGTAATTTGATGGCGCTGAGACTTTTTTGCCTTCGGTCGCCAGAAACGTGCCCATCTGTGTTTTATTGCCCTTTGTGTTTCCCTCGGAGACTGAGCCCGCAGCGTCGTCAACAGTGGCCAGCCTGCCTGACTGACCCACCAGGCCCCCCATCTCTCCGTGTGGACGGCCAGCGTGTGAGAGTCGGAGCGGGGCTTGGCGAAGTGGTGTGCGGCGTGGCCGGCGCACCCCTGGTGGCCGCACTGGAGGCACAACCAGACGCCGTCCGCCAGCTGACCAGAGCCCGTCTGCGTGACACACAGACATACATACACTGGGGGTCAGGACACAGGCGGCCCACCTCAATGTCATGTGTCAGATGACAGCCAACACCATTGCACCCACGCATAGCGCAGACAGACACCGATGCCGCAGCTAGGTCCCTGTGCCACAACAGACACCAACAACTTTCCCTGTGCTCACGTGACTATCAGTCGTGACTGAGAAGGATTGATGAAACACAGCACTGTGGAAGTCCAGGCACATGTAATGCAAATGTAGGCACACAGCCATTACGTGAGGAGGGCGGGCCACGGTGATTCAAGAAGCGAGCCCCCCCCCCCCCCCGCACACTCACTCACGGAGACTGCTCCGTGACGCACGCACGTCACAGGTCGCCAGCCACATGGCACAGTCTAGATCTCAACCAACTGGACGGAGGCTACAACCGACAGACAGCGGTGCACCTTCTCCTCATCCCCCGCGGCCGTGCAAGCAGACGACGTCTTCTTGTCACAGACGCCGATCCGACGACCCGCCTTCAGCTGACGCTTGATGTCCGCCAGGCTGACACTTTTGCCCACATGTTGGCACATTGTCTTTTCTGGAAACAAGGCCTTGATCAACCAACCACAGGCTTAACAGCATTGTTCAATATTTTTTTTCAGCATGAATGCCATGAGTGTAGCTTACAATATGACACTGAATCAAAAATGGCAAATGTGCTTTCAGGTGATGTTAAAGATGGCATTTATGCTTTGATTAGGCTTTGCAGAATGCCACACTTGTAATAAATAAAAAACACTTATTTCAGGTATGGAATATTCATATATGCATACATGAAATAGCTAAATTAGATATTATATACATATATAATTCATTAAGGCAGAATATGCATACTTGTTTCTGTCTCCTCTTGCAGAGGTGACTCAGAGGACTCCCCCAGGTACCGGCAGTTATCAGGTGTGCAATGGCTGATGCTCCTCACCATGCTCTCCAGCAACAACAAATAAAACTGTCTTGGTTGATGTGAGCTTAGGATGCATCTGCCAAAATAACTGATAAATGCATGGAGGTTACACCCACACAAAGCTAATGATAACAAATGAGTCAAACAACATATTTAGCAAGCAATGGACCAGTAACATTACAGTAATAATAAGGAACTATGATGCACTCAATTTGACACCAGGAATGAGGCAGTAATGTCTGTCGCAAAACAAAACTTGAAGGCTTGACACTTGACAATGTACTGTGGTTGAGTGCAGTGGAGAGTAAGCCAGTGCAACAGTGACTTCAAGTAGTCTCAGGCACTCACTTGTGGTGCTCCTATGCACCATAAGATGGTGGTTACCACTTACTTTTAGAAACTAATTAATGTTTGTTACACTGGAACAGTTAAATGGCTAAATATCTCAATATCAGCCCATGTACCTAATACAGCAAGCAGATAGACCTTTGTTCTTCAGGATAACACAGCAAACATGCAATTGTGATGTTAAAAACATGAACAACAAATACAGGGCCAATATGCCTGGTTTCATGTTAGATGGGTACATGGATGAAACTGTTGATTGCTTCTTGGCATGTCTGCAAAGAATTCATCCACAGCACTGAATGCTTATGACATTGGTGCACTAAACCTATGGCGCACATATGCCAATCTCAAGCCAAGACAAAGTATGTTAAAATTTGTATTATCATGCTTGATCTACATGCATTAAAATGAGTGGCTAACATGTGCCGGACTCAAGGCTCTGAAATTACTGCTGTACGTATATTGAAATTCTTGCTGGGATATCACTGCGAGCTGTAATGTATCTTTTTTGATGATCTGGATTAATAAACAATAAAATGTTTGGATTAATATGGCATCTTCTATAAATTGCAATGCTGTCAAGGTGAACTGATTGTAGGTTAGACACTGCTACCAAGAGGGCACTGTTTCCTAAACAGTGTTTCCAGCCCCCACCTCAAACTTGGAAAGAAAGTGGGCAAAATATGGAGAACAGTCAGTCTGTTGGCTTATCTTGTTGGTACAGAGCATCATTTTTTACTGCTGAACCCTCCCAACCCACTTTGCACGACCAATAGTTCGCAAAAGAATTTACTCCGCAAATGCCTACACAGCCTGCATTTTGACTTTGCTCTCTCACATGTTGAATTCAGCTAGGCCAAACTGAGCTGATGTTATCTTTGTTACATTAGGGTGGTATGGTTAAAATTATTTTTGCATCAAAATATTTTGAATCATTTTGCTCAAAATTTGCTTTAAACAATCATCATCTGTGGGAATGTGTGTGGGCATGAGAAACATGTGATTTTTGAAATCTGGCCCCTGGACACAAGACATCAGTTCTTTTGAAGGCAAACATCCACACAGTCCAACTTATATTTCCCAGAATAAGTTTGCACAGCCTCAAAGTCTTGTAAAGTGCTCAATGTTCTGAATGGAAGCATGCAACTGCAGTTTTCAAAGAAGGGACAGGGATGAGCCTGTGCCAAAGCAGGCTCCAAAGTGAGCCATCCTCTCATTAATACTACCATGAATCACAAACAAACCAATTGCTGATGCCACACATATTTTTCAGAGGAAACAAACTGCATGATGTATCCAAAATTCTGACAAAACACAGAAAAAACCTTCCACCCAAATGCAACATGGGCCAGCAGAGGACTGACTGGGAGGTCTTGTCCAATTATGTACCAAAAGTGTCATATTCTGTCAAGAAAGCAACATATCTGGTATCTTCCATGATGCAAGAAAACAACAACAAAGGTACAGAAAGCTTCCAAAGTAAGCCAAAGATTCTGAGGGTCCTACCAAGTATGGCCACATGTGCAAAAGATGTAGAATTTGAACAGCCATTTACCAAATTTGTTCATTATTTAAGGAAAAGTGTAACAAGAAATTGTACTGTTCTCAGTATAAGCACCATAATTACCTTTTTATGTCCCGCTACTAATCAAATTTCAAGTTACAATCTGACATTCTTACAGAAACAACCAGAGTTTTGTACTTAATGCCATCATGTTTTCAAACTGAAAAAGCAGACACATACCTTCTTATAATTACACATGATGCTCAAATCCTTCGCATGGTGAGATGCGGGCCATCGGTGGGTGATGTCATACAGTGGTTAGCGAGGGTGGGACGTTCAGGTTGGGTGATCAACTTAAGTGATATAATTGTTTCTCATCATCCACAGCAGGCTTTTCCATGCCTTTAAGTGCCTGCAGAACTTTCAAACATGCTTATGGTGCTTCTTATAATGTTACAATGTATCTTATTTTGATGCGGAATCACATCACACGTGTTTAAAGAATGATAAACTTCTAAATTTGGTGACGGCGAATGAATCCATGCATTTTCTAATGCCTGTTAGAACTTAATCAAACAGATGATGCTGTCAGAAAGCAGATACAGTTCCTATTCCCTAGGTATGAATCAGTAGTTTGTGTTGTCTAATTACATAATTTAATGATGGGCTGTGCTTTAACTTTTCAACCAGCAGCATGTCTTTTAGAGGGAACTTTTCCAAATGCTGTATTATGTTTGCTGGGGGTACATTTGCTTTAGGTATATGTGTATCAATCTGAAGGATCGTCAAATTGCCTATTGCAAGGTGCCAAATTAAGGCAGGTATCTAAACATGGTATAGGTGTATGTAAATGTAGACCATGCCTCCAAAATGTTGGAACATTATTCAGTTATAGTTCTGGATGTATGTTGGCTACATCAGGTACTGGTGCCTGATACTCCACCTACCAGGACCTTCTCAAGATAACGTGGTGCAGACAGTACCTGAAATTTGGTTTTGGCTCTTGGGGGAGAGAACAAAAATATTAAAATCACAGCTTGTAGTGAGAACAAAATAACCCAAGTGAATTAGTGATGCATTCACAGCTGGCACTAAAGGACATTCTTTGAAAGAGGATGGCAGTAAACACCATGCTTAAGCTGGTCTCAGTGATTGCCAATGACCATTAGAAATTGGCTGCTTGCAATTCTTAAACTTTCTATTTTCCTAAAAAAGTGCTTCCTGGTCAGGGTATACATTGCTACCTCATGTTAAAAAGAGCATTGTACATCAATCATTGCTTCTAAGGCAGAACATATCATACTTAATCATAAAACGGGTCATCCAAATGGCTGCCGTGCATGTGCGGCGTTCGGGAGCTCGCCATCATTATTATAAAAAAATTCTGGGTAAGAGCATAAATCTACCTGTTTTGTGATTATTTATGATATGTCCTGCCTTAAACATGACGAATGGTGTACAATGATTTTTCCTAATGTTAGGTAGGAAAGTACACCCTGACCGAGCAAAGACTTTGCGGCAATGCGATACCTGCCTAGGCTTTCACTGACCCAGACGTACTTAACATTGGAACAAGTGTGTAGTTCCCTATTTGGCTGGATAGGATGCCCCCTCCCCAACTGTGAGAAAAAACTTTGTCAAAATGAGGGAGAACATGATTTGCTCGATTTAAGAGGGGCAAAATATTTCTCTGCTCACCCGCTCCACTAAATTATATAAAAAACACCCCACCTGAGACGTCAGGCTGCTGCGTGATCGGGGCACGGACGCCAACGCAGCAGGGGCGGAGGAATTATTTCACCCCCACAGAGCAATCCAGTCGCATATGGTTACGTTACGGCATATAGGCATCAGGCTAGCATCACGACATCTAATCACCGGCGTCGAGTCTGATACAATACTTATCTCAGTGTATGACACAGAGCTAAATTTAAACATCGCCCTTATCTACACCGCCTACCAGTCGCGCAACACCCCTCCTCGTGCGGCCCCTCCGAAACTAGGTAAAACAAGGTCGGTAGGCTACATAAGTGGCGCGCACGCAATAGCAGTCAACGAAGCACTCGATCATCTGCAGCGGTTCGGGGAGGACGCGCGCTGGAGGCTGTAGGTGAGATTATCAGTCAGTGGATTCTTTTGATTGTGTTTGTGATTGTGTTTTTCAAGTGTCTTCTTTATTCCGTTGCTCATTGACAGACTAATAAAGTTTTCCAAATCTAGAGCTGGGTTCGGGTGGGAATTAGCGCTGACCGACTGAATGGAGATATGGTAGTGCATAGTCGGCCTGGGAAGCGATCCCGAGCTGAAGATGTGGTGGAGAACGTCTGGAATGACGTCGTGGACCGCAATGCCGGTTCGTACCTGAGAATAACCTGGAAATGCGGAAAACTCATGAGATCAAAGGGATGGCCATGGATTCAGGCAGGACTTAGGAATATTATTGGTACACAGACCAAGGTAGAGAAGGCAAGCTTCCTCCAGGATGGAAGCCTCCTAATTGAAACAAAAAACCAGAACCAAACTGAAAAACTTCTGAAGGCATCACCACTGGTGGGAGAGGAGTGTGAGGTCTGCCGTGACCCCAAACTAAATTTTAGCAAAGGCACTATACATGGCTATAACCTAGTGGACCTCACTGAGTATGAGATCATTCACTGGTTTAAGGAGTTTGGTGTGGTGGGAGCAAAGAGGTTTACAAAAAATGTGGGAGGAAGGATTGAGAATACCCCTACCATACTTCTCACATTTGGTGTACCAACTTGCCCCCCAAAGCTTGAACTGGACTACATAACTTATCATGTCAAAAAGCATGTGCCCAACCCATTAATTTGCTACAGATGTGGTAAATATGGGCACCCGGAAGGAAGGTGCACAAATGACCAAAGGTGCCTGAAGTGTGGTGAGCATGTGCATGAGGGCAAATGTGAAGCAAAGTGCATGAGTTGTGGTGCGGCAGGGCACACTTGTCTGTCACATGAGTGCCCTGTGCGGATCAAGGAAAAAGGTATCTGTACCCTAAAAGTTGAACATGAAATCCCCTATGCTGAGGCCAGGAAACGATATAATGCTAGCCACCAACGCCCTGCTCGAATGGCATGCTCCACTGTGACATGTGCCCCAACTGAAAACAAAAAAGAGGAATTGAAAGAGAAGGTGGAAACATTGGAGAAAAAGACAGATGAGATGACAGCTATTCTTGCAAAGATGGCAAAACAACTTCAGTCAGACAAGGGAGCAACCATTTCATATGAGGAGCAGAGCCAGCAAACTGAGTCAGACAGGGAGACACATGATGAGTCCATGAGTGAGGAAGTGGTGCACATAAATGAGGTGACGACATGTGGTGAAAATGAGCAAGCGACAAAGAAGAAAGAAGACCAAGAGGCAGACCAGGAGGATACATGGAAGAAGGTCAAAGGTAAGAACAAGACCAAGAGCAAGGAAGGTAAGGGGCATGAGATGGGTATCAATGGCACAAATGATGAATATTTAGCTTCCCAAAGCATTGGAAGGAGGGGTAGATCGCTGGAGAAAATTTGTGCAATATCTGCTACCAGAAGGTCATGGGAGGAGGGGACATAATTTTCCATGGATATTTGTGATGACTATTGATATCTTGTCGCCTTGAGATAATGCTGATATTTGTGGTGTTGATGGTCACAATGAGATGATGGGCATTGTCATTTTTGTTATGTTGTTGCTTCTTGTTTGTTTGTTTCTTGTTTTTGGGGGGCTTGGTTTGGATTTGGGGCAGGAAGAGTGGTGATGTGCTTGGGTAAATTAGCATGGCCCTAAGCATTTTGCAATGGAATTGCAGAGGAGTTCTTTCAAAATGGCCAGAGGTTAAACCAGTGCCCAAGAGAGAATTTGGCATTATCTGCCTTCAAGAAACCCATTTTCTTCCTACTGACAGGTATGATTATCAGCTGACTAATTATACATTATACAATGGGTATGGAAGTGTAAATGGAAGGTGAGGAGGGGTTTGTATATATGTTACCAACAATTATCCACATTTCCAAATAAATGTGAATACGCTACTACAAGCTGTGGTTTGTTCAGTGAAGGTTGGTAGAACGTGATTATGTGTGTGTTCACTCTATTTACCACCCAGTGAAACAGTAACATTACCTGATTAAGATAATTTAATTTCTCAGTTACCCCAGCCATTTATCCTATGCACAGATGCCAACAGTCGACACTACATGTGGGGCGCAGACCGATGCGATCAAAGAGGTAAACTGTGGGAACATGTGATACAACAACATGCATTGCATATTTTGAACGGTGGATGTCCAACAAGAATGGATGATTATACTGGTCTTTGGTCACACATTGATTTAACCCTCTCATCCAGCAGTATAGGTCAGTACATGACATGGTGTACTGACAATGATCTGCACTCCAGTGATCACTGTCCAGTGTATATTACGTTCAAAAGGGATCAAACAACGGAATTTAACCCGAACACATTTCATGGGTGGAATCTGAACAAAGCAAAATGGACGGAATTTACGAAAAAATGCGATATGCGATTTGATGAAACAGCTGGTATCGGCAACCTTGCGACTATGACTGAGACTATAGTCAGACTGGCAACGGAAACCATTCCTCAGAAAACCGGGAAAACAAAATATAGCTGCCCTTGGTGGAACGAAGTTTGCAAAGACGCTATTCGAAGTCGTAAAAGGGCACTTAACCGATTTAGACGGAATCGACAGAATTTCCACCTTATGGAATACAAACAAGCTAAAGCAAAGGCCAGGCAGGTTATTCTTAAAGCCAAAAAGAACTCGTGGGAAAAACTTCTGCATGTATTCAACCACACCACTCCTGTACAACAGCTGTGGGGTATTATACGCAGATTTACGAAAAAGGAGAGGACACAAAGGCCGCTACCTGTTAAGAACATTGACGGTGCTATTATTGATGACCCTGAAGAGGTAGGAAATGTGTTGGGAAAATACTACTCCAGTACTTGTGCTTCCCAGAACTACCGACCAATTTTTAGGAATCATTTAAATGAATTGATACAAGAAATGCCAAACTTTTCTTCTGACAACAACGAAGTATATAACGCCGTTTTCACCATGGATGAGCTTCAACAGTTCATTGCATTATGTGGAAACACCTCAATAGGCCCAGATAAAATCCATTATGCTTTCTTCAAGCATGTGAATGACAATCAGTTAGAGGAAGTGTTGAAAATGTTAAATTATATATGGTGTTCGGAAAGCTTTCCGGTGCAGTGGAAACACTCCATTATTGTTCCAATTATGAAACCTGGTAAACCGGGCGATAAACCTGAATCATATGGACCGATTCAGTTGACGTCGTGTTTCAGCAAATTAATGGAAAGGATGGTGGCCAAAAGACTTTCATGGTACATAGAAAATTGCAATATAATATCAGAGTATCAGTGTGCTTTTAGGACGGGAAGATGCACCTCTGATGGTATTCTTTAAGTACTTAACCTTTTTTTAGAAGAAAGATCTCCACCGCGAGCGTTTTACGCGCAGTGCGGCACGAGCTCAACCAGCTCGCGTTAGCAGGATTGCCCAACTTTGAAATCATACAATCCAAACGACATCTTTAGCACCAAAAATAAAGAGCAGGCAATTAACATTATTCACTACGTCGTTTCGACCACTGCTACTCACAATGCCCGCATGATTGCCTATAATCTTCAAGAAATAACCATCTGATAATATAATTAATTCGGCCACAAACAGGTCATATGATTTTTAACACGCAGACAGCCGACGATTTATAGCATGTACTAAAAGGGCAACATAAGCACCAAATTACGTACATTAGAGCAATCAAGAAAAGTATCCCAGTTCTTCACATTCCTGTCTCGAATTGATATTTCCAAACAAGCAGCACAGAGAAAAACCCAACAATGTCAGCGGAACTGAAGCATTTCCAGCAGTCTTAAAAAGCGGACCAAGCCACGGGAACCAAACACCGAAGCCAAGCCAACGTTTTCGGTACGGTACATTGACGTCTATTAGCGCAATGCATCTCATACACGGGTCCGGATAATGTGATTCACACTTATTAGGACCAAACACATCGTGACGACATTGTCGCTTAAACTACAACACTTGGGTTCAATTAATATGACTACTCCGTTGCCGTGACATGCTGCCATCATGTCGTGCAGAGGGACTGTCGTAGTACCCTCTTAAAGCAGTGCACCTCTTGTACAATTCCAACGAGCAAGGCTTGAAATCGCTCTGACATCCAGAGACATACTCTGCCGAGATCATATGCCAACAGCCACCCTAAAGAAACGGATCAAGCCTCGGGAAACGAAGACTGAAGCAAGGCCAGCGTTTTCGGTACGGTACATATACGTCTGTTAGCGTAGCGCACCTCATACACGAGTCCGGATAATGCGATTCACACCCTTAGAACTGAACACGTCGTGCTGACAATGTCGATGGAGCTGCAAGACTTCGGTCCGATGAACAAGACTCATGCATTGCCGTGAGATGCTGCAATCATGTCGTGCAGAGTGACTGTCGTAGCACGCTCTTAAAGTAGTGCACCTCTTGTACAATTCCAACGAGCAAGGCTTGAAATCGCTCTGACATCCAGAGACATACTCTGCCGAGATATTATGCCAACAGCCACCCTAAGCAAACGGATCAAGCCCCGGGAAACGAAGCCTGAAGCAAGGCCAGCGTTTTCGGTACGGTACATATACGTCTATTAG